GCTGCTGCTTGGTGCTTTTTACTGCTCTGTTTCTCCTCTTTGCTGCTGCTGCTGTTTGCTGCTGCTGCTGTTTGCTGCTGCTGCTGTTGCTTGCTGCTGCTGCTGTTGCTTGCTGCTGCTGCTGCTTTGTAAGAGTGTAGTATTTGGTTGTTTGTTGGTGTCAGTGTTTTGGTTTTGTTTGTGCTGCTGCAGTGCATTGCTGCTGTTGTTGCTGCTGCTATTTATATTTTCTTCTTCTGCGTGTTTCACCTGTTGCTGCTGCTGCTGCTGCTGCTGTTGCTGCTGCAGCTCGCCGTTTGCTGCGGCAGCGGGCCCAGCGGGGCTGTGCGGTTTGTACGCGACGGCCTCTTCCTGCATGCAGCAGGAGCAGCAGCACTGCAGCAGCCAGTTGAGGGCTTGTGGTGTCTCCGGCTGCAGCGGGGGGGGGGCCCGCTGCTGCTTGCTGCTGTCTCCTTGCCTCAGAGCACGTTGCTGCTGCAGTGGAGGGGATCTGCTGCTGCATGCAACACAGCGACACGTAAGCGTAGAAGCTGCTGCTGTCTCCTCCTGGTTCTGCTGCTGCAGCAGCAGCTGCTGCTGCAGCAGCAGCAGCTCCTCCTGGTTCTGCTGCAGCAGCAGCAGCAGCTGCTGCTGCTGCTGAATCTCGCTCTCTTGCTGCTGTCCTTTTCTCTGCTGCTGTCTATGCTGCTGCAGCTGCATCTGCTGCTGTCTCTGCTGCTGCTGCTGTGTCTGCTTCTGCTTCCTTATTGTGTCTCCCCGCTTCTCTGTTGCTTCTGCTGCTGCTGCTGCTGCTGCTGCTGTTTGTCTCTTTCTGTCTCTCCTCTGCTCGCTTGCTGTGCCTGCTGCTGTCTATGCTTCTCTGTCTCCGTTTGCTGCTGCTTTTCTCCTTCTGGTTTGTGTCTCTGTTGCTGCCTTTGTCTCTTGTTTCTGTCTCCTTATCAGTCTCTCTCGCTGCTGCTGCTGCTGCTGCTGCTGCTGCTGCTACTTCTGCTGCTCTTTGTCTCTGCTCCCGCTGCCCCTTTTCTGTTCCATAGCGTCCATGCATATGTTATTCTTGCTGCTGCTTATGCTGCTGCTGCTGTTTGTGCTGCTGCTGCTGCTTCTGCTGCTGCTGCTTCTTGTCCTGCTGCTGCGGCTTATGGTGCTGCTCCTGCTGCTGCTGCTTGTGCTACATCTGCTGCTTGTGCTGCTGCTGCTGCTTGTGCTGCTGCTGCTGCTGCTGCTTCTGCAGGCGCCATTGCTGCGTCTCGCTGCTGGGGGGAGACAGAGGAGGGGGGCGAGCTGGAGGGGCTGGGGGCCCTGGGGGCCTTCGTGACCTCTCAGCCTTCTCTCTTTTGCTGTCTCTTTAAGACAGAAGGAGACAGCAGCAGCAGCAGCAGCAGCAGCAGCAGCAGCAGCAAACATGAGGAGACACTGCAGCAGATGCAGCAGGACAGCAGCAGCGACACAGAAACATATCACACACCAGAAGCAGACAACGCCGTCGTTGTGCTGCAGGTACACCCCGCGCGCTGCTGTCCTGCTGCCG